CTTTTTAAAAATGGCCGAGACACGTTCACTTACTTCAACTTTTTGTTTCCCTTCCAGTTTATTTTTCTTTTTCATTGTGCATAGTTCCTTTAAGAATTTTGCATAACGGGGAACACTTTTGATCAGTTTGAAGAGTGGGATGTTTACCTCAGAATTGACGAATGTTTCGTATATGTCCCGATCATTCTTCAGCTTCCTCGTGTCTTTCAATGCCTCAGGGAATGGAGGGAGTGGTTCATATGATGACAGTGGAGGGAATTTAGTCTTCGTTGGCTTCTCCTCTTCATGTTGAAAGCCTTCTTCAAAATCAACCTCTTGCTTCTCCTCCTCAACTTCCCGTGGTTGCAATTCTTTACCGTTCCTCAACATGATTGCATTGACATGTTGTCTTGGGTTTTGCTCAGTTTGGGAGGGGAGCCTACCCGAATCTTTTGCTTCAAGTCGACTTACGGCACTTGAAATTTGGCTAACTTGAGTTTCCAAATTTTGAATGTTCGACTTGGTTTCATGTTGGAATTGGATCATGGTTTGTTGGAATTGCCCCATGCTTTGCTGCATTGTTCCCATATTAACGGCCAACGCTCGAATCATATCTTCGGTGGACATACTCGAGTTCGATGTTTGACTTTGTGGTTTATATTGTTGAGGAGGAGGATTTGTTTGAGAATTTCCGTACCTTAAATTCGAATGATCCCTCCATCCTGGGTTGTAAGTATTTCCTTAAGGATCGTACCTCCTTTGACCTTGGAACCCCAAAGCATTGACTTGCTCGGAGTTCTCTTCTTGTAGCATTGGGCAAGAATCTGTGGGATGCCCTTGTGTTGAACAGATGCCGCAGACCTTGACTTCTTGAGTTTTTGGATTTAAGAGAAAATCTTTAACCAAAGAAGTCAAGCCGGCTACTTGACTTTCCAACGAGTTGTTGGATTCCGCTGCCATGACTCGTTTCGATGATGACCTTCCGTTGTAATGTCTCGAGTTTTCGGCGAACTCCGAAATGAGGTCTCTTGCTTGAGAAGGGGTTTTGTTAACAATACCCCCTCCGCATGCCGCATTCACCATGCGTCTATCTTGATCAACAAGTCCATCATAGAAGTAGAGGATAAGATCTTGTTCCGAATACCCATGATATGGGCAACTAGCACATAATTTTTTAAAGCGCTCCCAATATTCATACAAGGTCTCATTATCCGCTTGCTCAATGTTGCTGATTTGCTTCTTGAGACTTGAAGAGATAGATGCGGGATAGTACCTGTCAAGGAAGCTCTTTTTCATTTGAGCCCATGTATTGATGCTCCCCGAGGGAAGATAGAATAGCCAATCTTTGGCGGTGTCTTTGAGGGAGAATGGGAAGGCTCTCAGCTTGATTTGCTCCTCGGACACGCCATTGGGGCACATGCTTGTGCACACAATATGGAACTCTGACAAGTGTTTATTTGGATCTTCCCCTCGTAGGCCATGGAAAGAGGGAAGTAGGTGGATGAGCCCAGATATTAGCTCGAATGTGACCCCCGTATCAAGAGTTGGAAAAGTGATACATAAGGGTTGTTGATTTAGATTCGGAGCCGTGAGCTCCCTCAGCGTTCTTGTTTCCAGAGCCATGTGGAAGGACTCTTCGGATTCGCTAGAATGAGAACTAGTACTTGATGATTCTTCCGAAGAAGTATTCGGAAATAGATTCCTGAACCTCTCGAAGGCTTGTTCTGTTTCGGGCTTTGTTTGGTAGGTGATTTGGTTTATAGATCGGTGTTTAACCATATACTCAAACAAAGCTCAACAAAATAGATATCTTTTATATATATTTTTTTGATTTTTCTTGAAATAAAATAAAAGAAAAATAATTGCCTTTCCCCGGCAACGGCGCCAAATTTGACGAGCACTTTGTCACGGTGCGTCAAAATAAATTTCAATACTAACACTTATACGTAGTATAGCGTAGTAGAGTTCGTATCCACAGGGAAAGGAATAATTCTCTTTTTATGAAACTTAGTAAATAAAAAGGGGGGATTTGGATTGAGTGATTTGATTTAATTAAGAACTAAGATGAACAACCTATATGTGTTTAATTCAAGGATAAAAAGGACTTGGCATTGCTACTTTCCACTTGTTGATATATTTTAGTCGATCATTGTTATATCTATAACTTATTCCCTCTTGAATACTCAATCGGGGAGTATATCCACTTCATCGAGGGTAGTTATTAACAACAACCGTTCATTAATAACCCTTACTATTAATCAAATATAGAACAACGCCTTATACCGATTTAATAGTAGCATTTAATCTTTCTAACTCCTTGATGAAATCAATTGAGATTGATAACCTCAAAACAACGGTTTCGGTTTAACCAACAAAATTAATCCCTCTTAAGTTTATTAACCACGGCCGTGCATTAATAAACCGAAGTTACTTACTTGTGAAACCATCAACGATTAACCATCGGTTCGTTGATCGTTTCTAGTAATAATTAGTATATGAAACAAAACTAGTTGATCCTTTAAGTAATGTTCAAAATATTAATATGAAATATGAACATGGATTAATTAGTATTCAAGGAAGAATATTATTAAAGAAGATGAATCCTACTATAATTAATATCAAGATGTTAACTAATTGTCATCTTAGCAACACTCCCCAACATTAATATAGAGGAAGAAAATATCATTCTAACTAATGTCGAGGTGTTAACTAATTGTCATCTTAGAAACACTCCCCAACATTAATATAGAGATGGTATTAAGGAAAGAACTATTAATTAATATTCAAGGAAAGAGGTTAAGAAAATAACTCACAACTTTAATAATCAACAAGCTTCAAGAGCAACACCAAGAATGGAAGTTTAGCTACTCATTTGGAGACTAAACATAGCTAGAAAAATATAAAGAAATGCTATTCTAAACTGAGCTTAAGAGTATGGAAGAAGGGATGCTTTTTAGAGAAGAAAAAGAGTGCTATTTATAGGTGTTTTTCAACACCTTTGGCCGGGTACCCGACCGGGTGAAGTACTCACCCGATCGGGTCCGATCAAAATCAGATATTTCCCCACGTTCTGGTGATCTTCGCACACCGGGTTGTCCTCGGTCACTTCTCGCTCGACCGGGTGAGGTATGGGGCCCGACCGGGCCCAGCTCTTTCCTCAGTGCTTCGGTTTTCAAATCAGACCCGACCGGGTGAAATTTCCTACCCGGTCGGGTATTTGCTCCTGGACAGTTAAAATTCATTTTTCTTCACTTCAACATCCTCCTTTCCAACATCCTAATTCCTAATTCTACTTTATAACTTACAAATGAGAACTAAAATACAATTACAACTAAAATCACACAAATGTTTACAAACCAAATAAAACGTCAAACAATCACCATCAATGAAACATAAAAACATACAATTATGCACTACTAATTAGTGTGCATCACCTAACATGGGCTAAGGTGGTCCCGATGATTAGTGGGTAATGGGCCGACCTGCCATTCAACCTATTAACCCAACAAGTAGTTTTATAATAATAATCTCTACCAAAAAACTCAATACAAATAATCCAAACTCGTAAATGTGTCTACATAGATAGATTAAACATTCCATGAGTAGAAGTCCATCCACTCAGTTTTATATATCCTTTAAAATAATATTATCGTTATGATATAAAAACACTAAATTCAAATTTATAACAATAGTGAACAAAGTCACTAATATATGCATATATATATTAAATACAAAAAAGATTAATGTAATCTATCCATGTAGACGTGTTTATGAGTATGAATTATTTGCATAGACATCTTTTATAGGGATTATTATTGTATAACCGTTAAAAGTACGGATTATTGGTATGAATTTCGCCTTTTTTAAAATGATGAGTAATAATTATTTCCAACATTGTTTTTTATTAATATTAATATATACTTCAGAATCATGAAAAAATACTTAGAGAGGAACCATAACGGCTGTCTCCCCTCTTGTGTAGGGGTTGAGATTTTCCGCCGCCCCTATCAATATGGGGTTGGTGCGGCATATTATAATGATTTTAAGTGTTCTAACGCTTGAGATTACATCTACGTAGGAGGAGATAGCGTTGGCGGATGAATGAGGTGCGACTGGGAGGTTGTATCGAGGATGAATCGTGAAGCCTTGGTCGGCCATTCCGACGATGTGGAGTTGATATTCACCCATATTGCAAGAGCACGTCCTCCTCTGGAATCACCTCCGTACGACCATACCAGAAAGAGCTTTGTGGAATGAGTTCATTTTAGTATTATTTTCTCTCTAGTATCAATTGTTTCTATTTTAGTCTGAGTAGATTTGGTTTGAATATTTGGATTTTTGGAGTTCTTTTGATAAGTAGGATTTCAGTTTCGGTCGTTTTAGACCTAAATTTGCCCGTTTCATGTTTAGCGAGTCATGTTGCTTTGTTTAATGTGACTGTCTCTAAGTCTACTCCTAGGGTTCATGATTGAATCTGTAAATTCTGTCTGAAGATTATCTTGTATGTGTTCTCGATTTTATTTTAACGATCGCTCTTTTATGATAAAAAATCATACAAAATACTTCATACACATTAGCGGAGTTTGAACTATGAAGCCTCTGGATTCTAGAATAAGGGTCAAGTTCTTCATCTTGTGGCTCTTTCGTTTCCAAAATAAAATAGGGTCCAAGTCTCTAAGAGATCGCTAGTTCAATATTACAACACCCATCGTTGTTTCTTTACTCTTCGACGAGAGATTTTTGTTTCTTTTTTGGGCTGAAGAGTTTCCTGTAGCAAGGAGGAAACGTGGGATATTAGAGGAAAGATATGCAAAAGACAGTAGTACAAACTAGATCGATTGGCTTTTCAGATTTTGAAGAAAAGATAAAAAGCTATTTAAACAAACACTTTTAGTAAGGTAAATTTGGTCAAATCAATAAAAAAGTGGCAGATAGATTCCTAACCAATAAAAAGTCCTTGAGGCTGCACCCCACCGGTCTTCCGATAAAATTTTATCTTTTCAAGAAAAAAACGGCTGAAATGAAAGCAACGCATTCTTAATTGTACTGTATTGAATAGGGAGTCGAACGTAGAGCGCGATCACACACACCTACCCACTCACTCTGTCGTCGTACCGAATACAGTAAATAGATACATACATATGCAGAGGCTCCTTTAATTTCTCTCAGTCCTAACCATATTTCAATTCACGACAAAACATAAATACATTCTTGTCTTCCTCCCCGGGCCGATGGATCGATCCACCAGCCAGTGGAAGAGGCGGATGATTCTGTTGAGAAGATGTTTGCGGCGGGGTCTGAGAAGGTGCTTTCGTGGAGGGATCAGTTGAGTTTGAGGGCATTGGTAGTGAGTTTGGTGCTGAGCATTCTCTTCACTTTCATAGTCATGAAGCTCAACCTCACTACTGGCATCATCCCTTCTCTCAATGTCTCTGCTGGCCTCTTGGGCTTCTTCTTTCTCAAGACTTGGACCAAACTTCTCGGGAAATCTGGCCTTTTGAAACAGCCCTTTACCAGGCAAGAGAATACTGTCATCCAGACCTGTGTTGTTGCCTCTTCCGGCATTGCCTTCAGCGGTACGCCCACTCCTACTTGACATCTTTTGGGAATGGAAATTAGAATTTTTCACTTGTAATTGAAAATAGGATATATAATCAAGTTTGATGTCTGAAAGTTCAAAGTTTGATTTTCAATCTGGAGTATGATCAACATAATGATGCAAGTTTTTGAAACGGATTTGCATGCATCGATGTTAAGTTGAGCCAAATATTAAAGAGAATATTGATTAATGTTGGACCGGCCACATGCATTCCTATTTTTGGCTGTCAATGAAATGAAAATATTGACTTTTGGACATTTAAATACATCATTCCATCTATTTCATATCAGATGTTGTTGACAACAACTACTGCATGTGAATGTGTATATAAGTATGTTTTCAGCACCTACAGGTGCAGAACACATGCACAGCTAAAGCAGAATTGATCTTCACACTAAAAAGTCAACTCACCGATACATTTAGTTTATTAATATTTGTGTCCAACTAATCGTGGTGATAATGAGCTAATTCTCTCCCGTCTTAGCTGGTTTACGCCTTTAGTTGATTAGTTAATTAAGACTTAAAGGCAATGCGTGCACATTTGCGATCTATAGCCAGTTTGTCAGGCTAATCAAATGAGATTTAGATCGGGTGTTTTTTCTTCACGGAAAATATCATCCAAGAAAATGATTTTAGGATATTTCTGTATTTGAGATGTAAATACTCATACCAGGCACCGGGTTGAATTTTCTAAGCATCTTAAGAAACAAGTTCCATCTTTCTTATGGTGTGTTTGGATCCAAGAAAATGAAACAATTATAAAGTTACTTTTTATGTTTGTTTTACCACGTAAAAGGAAAATGAAAATGGAATATGAGCAGTGTTTCCCTTTTTAAAAAAATGAGCAGTGTTTCTACTTCGTGTTATACATTTATTTAAATTTCTCATTCACTAGATTTATGTCAACCCAAGACCACATATCCAACATAAATAAATACACTAAGACTTGACCATATCAGATCAAATCAAACTATACAAGAGACCAAACTTAGATTATGCTCCATCTGCCTCGAAAAACTTGACCAATCTCCTTCTTTGACCATCCTAAAAAACATTGCCAATAAAAAATCCATGGGGTAGTACACATAATATTAGACCATGTCATACTTAAAGACATAATTCAGATCACACCAAACTCGAATGTGTTAGTATAAGTGAAAAAATCGCACCCGTACAGAGAGACTGGAGGCATAAATAACTAAAATGGACTGGAGACACCAAACTCCAGATTGTCTTTTATTCTCACCCACATTTTCTTCTTTTGCAATTCCCCCTGTGTTTTCCTTCTTAATTAGCATTTTTAGGCTCCAGTAGACTCTCAGTCGATATTTGAAACGCTAAAAATGTTTAACAAAAACAAGTAGGAAACTATAACAGAAATTCTTAGCAAAAAATGTTAAGAAAAATAAAACAATGATTCAAAACTTCAAACTCGTCTCCCATATTTGTTGAATTTAATATTTATCAAGTTATTTATATTATATATATAGTAAAAAGCTGAACATGTGTAAAAGCTTTACACAACAATAATCATATTTAATTTCGTTTTCTCTTACATGCTCCTAGTTCATACCAAACAAAAAAAGAAACCAATTTTCCTTTATAAGTTATTTCCTTGTCCTAGCATTTTACGGGATCCATACGTGAAAAATTGCCCTAAAGGATTGCAAACAAAGAAGTAAAGAGTTAAGTGTACATTCAACATTGTAATCTCCTCTGATCTGTTTGGACCTTATCTGTTTTTAGCTGATACATATGCCCATAAATGAAGGGAGTTCATCAGTAATTCAGTCTTGAATTAATTAAGCAGGAGGTTTTGGAAGCTACATGTTTGGAATGAGCGATGTTGTGGCCCGTCAATCAACTGAAGCAAACAATGCTCAGAATATAAAAGAACCCGGGCTGGCGTGGATGATTGGCTTTCTCTTTGTTGTCAGCTTTCTTCGCCTCTTTTCTGTGGTTCCCCTTCGAAAGGTCAGCCGCAGATAATCGGTTTCATTAATTAGCACCAGAGTTATATTAACGAACCCTTAATTAGTAAGGCTAATAAGCTATGTTTTGAGCTAGGAATATTGTGAAGGGAAAAGGAAAAGGTTACCAATGAAAATCATTGTTTATATGTTTGGTTTATTCCAAAAACATATCTGAAGGAAAATATAATTTGATTGGATTTTATTAATATATCTAGCTCAAATACGAAGTATTAATTTTGACCTCTTGAAAAGTCCTCTCTCCTTAGGTTCATGATCATATATGTCATCATATACTATATGTTTTGATGTTTTTTTTGCAGATAATGATCATAGACTTCAAACTCACATATCCAAGTGGAACAGCAACTGCTTGATAGGGACATAGACAGCCTATAATAATAAGAATAATAGAATTATAATAAATAATGTAATAGTGTACAAATAAGGTTGTTGGGCCATTTATGTTATGATTTTGGGCCAGCCCTTGAGGGTAGCCTTATTATAAGAGTGGGAAGTGGGGAAAGAGGAGGTTAGGCAGAAATTGAGATTGGACTGGGACTGGGAAGTTGGAGTCTATCTCCTTCTTTGGGACTACTCTGTACGGTTTACCTGCTTTGAGTAAAATTCAGTTTTCTTTACTTTGTTCTTAATTCTCTGTGAATGATTCTGGAATTGCGGAAGTTCTAACATTGGTATCAGAGCACGTTCAACACTGTGCGCAAATGGATTTAAGATTGGATGAGCTGGAGAGAAAACAGAAGAAAACGACCGAGACTTTGGAGGAAATTCAGGTGACAATCACCAACTTGGACAAGAGAGTCCATAATCTATGGAAGAGCAGTTCGCACTCTTCGCATAGGCCGCACAGTACCTCGCACCATGGACACGCAAGAAAGTCCGATCAGGAACATCATGGCAACAGAGCACTTCGAGCGAGGAACCCTAGTCATCGTTCGTCGCAACCATTCACAGGTTCGCAGTCGGAGTCGCGAGCTACTTCTCATGGCTCGCAATCGCGAACTACACGTCACTGTTCACAGTCGCGATACAGATCACATGCGTCAAACGCATCGCATCGGGAATCTCATCTTCATCATACGCGAAGGTCAGCGAGTCCAGAGGACTCAGAAGAGCGGAGGCATCCCAGAAAATCTGGCGATCGAACTGTTTCTTCGCCAAGCTCTTCACATAGCTTTTAGAAGAGTTCTTCTCATCATTCTTATCATCGCTCTTCGCATCAGACTATCTCAAAGGACATCAGTTCGCACTCAAGGAAGACACAATTGAGAAGAGAATCTTCTTCTTCACCAAATGATTCTCACAGTTTGCTATCTTCTTCTAAAGCAGTTTCTAGGAACTCAGCTAATTCAAAAACGGAGAAATTACCTCTATTTTACGAGGATGAAGCGTACAAATGGACAGAAAGGATGGAAAGATATTTCCGAGTCCAAGCTATTGCAGAAAGATTTAAAGTGGACATGGCAGCAAAGGCAATGGGGGATGCAGCAGATGGCTGGTTTCAATGGTGGGACTTTCACAAGAGAGAAGATAGTTGGGAGGCTTTAAAGGAAGATTTGATTAGGGATTTTCCACCTAGACACCGGCAGAAGACAGGGAGGACAGAAAAACAGGTATCATCAAGGTCACCAACAACTTCTAGTAGTTTGCAAGTTTCTCACCCTGAACAAGATATTGCCCAGTCAATAAAGAAGACACAGATGGAACTAACTGAACCTGTAATCAGGCAAATGAATATGAAAGAGGAAATCAAGGACGTAATTAAGGAGAAGACGGGGTTTGAGGAAATCACAGTGAATGGGTTTACCGGGGAAAAGGAGCAGACAACTGCTTATACATGGAATCCTCTGCAGAAGACACTGACTAGAAGAATTCATCCAGAATGGTTTCAAAAGTTAATCATACAAATGATTAGCATTAAACTGGTAGGCACTGTTTTGAAGTTCAGAGATGAAGACAGGAAGGAATGGAAGGAAAAAGGAGGTTATACGAGCAAACCTCAGCAGTGGAATGATGAGTATAGCAAGTATAAATATACTTATGAGGCCATAACAGCTGCTGTGCAACTTTCACCTAGAGACAAGAGTGATAGATATCTTCCAGATACATCCATTGATTTTATTGATAAGGTTGGGTTGATGAAGTCTATCTTGAAGCCTGATTTTAAAGTTGATCAGCTTTCGGTTCTGGATGTGGAAGGCTGCAATGTGGTATTTTCTGCAATTCAGGACTCCTCTGATTCTGTACTGAGATGGACTGATGAGTCTGCTCTTGGTAGCAATATTGAAGGACATGTTCATAAAATACAGGAGTTTGGGGCGGTCATCACTTTTAAGAATCGGGAAACCAATATGTTCTTGAGTATTCTGACCGAAGTTCATCAGGAACCAGTCCCTGAAGCTCATTCTGTTGCTGCAAGAGCTATTGGCTCTCTTATAAGGGAAAGGAAAGAAGAAAACTTCCCAGACTTGGGACTTTGGCGGTTGGAGAATCTGACATCGCATGGCAGTACTGTGGTGCACAACTTATTTTGCATAAGGCTTGTTGTAGACAGTGAATTGAGTAATTTGAGCAACCTCAAATCTGCATCCAACTCACTGATGACTCCCGAAGTAAGAGTCCTTGAGGAGTTTTTTGAAAAAGAGGAATTAATTGTAGCCAGTAAGTGCTTGAAGGCCACTGCAACAAATGAAACTGCACACGACATATCTTCTGCAGCCGCAACATCTGTGATTTTGGAGGTACAAGTACTGAAGCTTCTGATTCAACAAACTGCGAGATATTGGGAAGGAAGAGGCGCTCGGATGAAGAAGATGTTGAAGGTCAACAAGGCTCTTTCCTATCACCCACCTTGAGGACAAGGTGGTTGTTCAAGGGGGGAGATATGATAGGGACATAGACAGCCTATAATAATAAGAATAATAGAATTATAATAAATAATGTAATAGTGTACAAATAAGGTTGTTGGGCCATTTATGTTATGATTTTGGGCCAGCCCTTGAGGGTAGCCTTATTATAAGAGTGGGAAGTGGGGAAAGAGGAGGTTAGGCAGAAATTGAGATTGGACTGGGACTGGGAAGTTGGAGTCTATCTCCTTCTTTGGGACTACTCTGTACGGTTTACCTGCTTTGAGTAAAATTCAGTTTTCTTTACTTTGTTCTTAATTCTCTGTGAATGATTCTGGAATTGCAGAAGTTCTAACACTGCTCTCTTAATCAACAGTTTTCATACCCCGAAAGGAGCTAAGCTGGCAAAGTATGTACACTACCAACTTTAATTAATTTGATCATAACATAATGTTGACTTCCTAGCTGTTGTTGCTACACCATCTTTTATTCTCTCATGCCATGCAATCAATCATGCAGGAAACAAGTAAAAGCACTTGGGAAATACTCCACCGTCAGCTTCCTTTGGGGTTTCTTCCAGTGGTTTTTTACGGCAGGGGATGCGTGTGGGTTCGTAAACTTTCCCACATTTGGGCTAAAAGCATATGACAACCGGTTTTACTTTGACTTCTCAGCAACCTATGTGGGCGTTGGGATGATTTGTCCATATCTCATCAACATATCTGTCTTACTTGGAGGAATCCTCTCATGGGGGATAATGTGGCCTCTCATCAAGGAAAGGAAGGGTCACTGGTATCCAGCAAATCTCAGTGAAAGCAGCCTGCATGGCTTGCAAGGATACCGTGTACGTTGTTATATTCTTTCTTACTACCCCCAGCCATCCCCTAGAGCCCTACGTCACGTAAATATTTAATTAAATTTGTTATTCGTAGATATATTGAAAGAGAGTTTGAGTTGACGTTACAATTTTTTGCTATTGCAGGTTTTTATAGCAATCGCCATGATTCTTTGAGATGGTCTCTACAACTTCTGCAAAGTATTGGGGCATACCCTGTATGGATTGTATCACCAAATGAAAAACAAGTCAGTCCTCCCGGTCGCGGGACAATCACCCCCAGAACCTTCTATGTCAGTTGATGACAAGCGAAGAACTGAAGTTTTCCTCAAGGACCAAATCCCGATGTGGTTTGCAGTGTCGGGCTATGTCACGATCGCCATTATCTCAACAATATCACTTCCTCATATCTTCAACCAGCTGAAGTGGTACCACATTGTGGTGATCTACATTGTTGCACCCGTACTAGCCTTCTGCAATGCATACGGAGCGGGCCTCACCGATTGGTCGTTGGCTTCTACGTACGGGAAGCTTGCAATCTTCACGATCGGGGCGTGGGCAGGGGCCACACATGGTGGTGTTCTTTCAGGACTAGCCGCATGCGGGGTGATGATGAACATCGTGTCCACCGCGTCAGACCTGACGCAGGACTTCAAGACGGGTTACTTGACCCTGGCTTCCCCTCGGTCCATGTTTGTCAGCCAAATCATTGGGACGGCGATGGGGTGTGTCATCTCGCCTTGCGTGTTCTGGCTCTTCTACAAGGCATTCCACGACTTGGGGCAGCCGGGATCAGAGTACCCAGCACCTTATGCGCTTGTGTATCGTAACATGTCCATCTTGGGGGTGGAGGGGTTCTCGGCACTACCAAAGCATTGCCTCACGCTGTGCTATGTCTTCTTCATTGGGTCAATTGTCATAAACGGGATAAGGGATGTGGTTGGGAAGAAGAGGGCGCAGTTCATTCCGATCCCCATGGCGATGGCCATCCCGTTCTACCTGGGAAGTTACTTTGCCATTGACATGTGTGTGGGGAGCTTGATTCTTTTCATTTGGAGGCAGATAAATGAGAAGAAGGCTGATGCATTCGCGCCGGCAGTGGCTTCCGGGCTAATATGTGGGGATGGGATCTGGACTTTGCCTCAGTCCGTGCTGGCTCTCGTTGGGGTCAACCCGCCCATTTGCATGAAGTTTCTGTCCCGGAAGAACAATGCCAGGGTCGATGCCTTGTTAGCAGCTGCTTCTTGAATCTTTTTTCTTTCATCATGCCCCACCCCTTTGTTAATTAGACTCGGCATTATTATCAGGATGCATTGTTACCCTTGAGATGTCACACACACATATAGTTGCAATAGAAATATGATTATACGTTTTCTTTTTACAATACAAGGGTTGTCAAGATTGTAACTATTGACAGAAACATAAGGTATAAGGTTCAAAAGTTTAGAAAGTTAAAACTAAATGGAGAGCACGAAAGAGCTTATATTAAAATCATAGAATCAAATATCTCAACAATTCTGATGTGAGTATTCTCGCACTAAAAATATATAGTAGTATAGGGTTAAAGTACGAGTATCATCTCCACAAGGATAGAAAAAAGGAATCAAAAATTAAATAAATTCAGTGATTAAAGAAAAATATAATGCGGTGTGTGAAATTTGTTTTTTTTATGGAAATTAAAATAATGCGAAAAAGAAATTAATCTAAAAGGTTCTTTCTAATTAATGACGAAAGGGAGCAGAAATTGATTTTGGGATAATCTGAACTTAAATTGATTGGTGAAGAGTGCACGCATTATTTGAACTTAAAAGTATAGTGTAACGAAAGTAAAAGTCAAAATTTCACACTTAACTTTAAGCACCCTTTTAATTTGAATCGCAATTCGTAAAGAGTGTTAACGTGAGAAATGTGAAATCTTCACTTTTACTTCGCCTCATTGCACTTTTAGGTTCAAATACTGTACCCTTTCGTGGTGATAAAAACATTAACTTATTTAAGAAAATGCAGCTGTGTTTTTAACTCAAACTGCTACACAATTGATATGTACGAAAATCATTCTTATTTCTAGCACTAAAACTTATTTTTATTTGATCCTAAACTTAAGGTGCAGTTCCAATAAAAAGAGTGACTAATGTAAATAGTGCGAAACTTTTACGTTTACGTCATTGTACTTCACTCTTAAGCTCAATATTCGCGGTGACAAAAATGTTCACTTATTGGTGAAAATGACACTTCATTTAACTCAATTTGCTGCATTGTTGGCATAAGCATTGTTTAATCTCAAGCTAGCTCAAGTTCAAACCAGATCAATTCAGATTAGATCAGACCAAATCAGGCAGGACCAGATCAGACCAAACCAAACCAGACCAACAAATTTCAATCAAAGTAAAAACATCATAAATGATTAAAATGACATTTATTTATAACTAATCGTTCAATTACCATTCTACAACCGCAACTTAGAGTGACCTACGCCCAAGCTCGATTGTAAAATGGAGGAGGAGGCGGAGGAGCCGAGGAGGAGGAGGGGGGGGGGGGGAGGATGGGGGAGGAGGAGGACTGATTGTATGACATCGCTGGTAATGAGGTCATCGTCACCATCGTAGGATTCACCTTTTCTGTTGGTGGAGTCACCGTCTATGCTGCCCTCGGCCCCCGTCGAATGTCACGTGATGCAAGTCGAAGAAGAAAGGCCGTCGACTTGGACGATGAGGATGTCGATGGATAGCTCTAGCGTTTGAAGGCTTTGAGATAAGTTCTAATCTTCCCGGTTTTATACGAGTATTATTTAAAAAATCTTTAGGGGCAAGTTATAAATTTGGCACAAGTTTTTAAAATAAATTCAAAATAAAAGATTTTCTTAGAAGCTATGCTACATCGTTGGAAAGAAAGTATGTAATTTGTAACATTAGTTAATGAGTTAATCACAACAACTTAGTGCATCTCCTATGCTACAATGTGCATAGTGCATCTCTGACATGAGAAAGATAGACATAAAAGATTAGAGTGATGTTTGAAAAATGGGATTTCGGTCAAAATATGACAGTTTGACCCCTTTTTGCGGTTTCAACAAGTGAATACGCTGCAAATAGGAGAATTTTGAATTACGTTTTGAAATATGACGTTTTATGGTCAAACAGCTAAATACCAAACATCTTCTTGTAACCTGCCAACGTATTCCGTTAGTTAAACCCGTTGACTGAATTATGTCAACTTATTCCCTAACATAATCTGTTATCCGCTAATCGCTAAATGTCACGCTCTAAATTATGGCATTTCTTTCTCCTTCTTTTAACGGTCTTATTTGTTTTTGGTAAGATTTTCTCAACAATATCACTTACAATGTCTACATCTAGACATTATATGTAACACTTGAGATTAATTTAAAAGGATTAATAGTACTACTCATACCAACAAGGTGCATCTCGGTTTAAGGGAGCTTGTCAGCTAAGAACTCCAAATTAAGTGTGTTTTCTCGAAGCACACACGAGTGAGGATAAAGTGTGCGTTAAAGGATTGTATCAGTTTGTGAGGACAGAACTAGAAGTCTGGAGTAACTATCTTGGATCCTGCGGGGCCGAGGTGTTACAAGTGATATCAGAGCAACCCTGCGACAGTGTGTTGATCCGTTGGATATCGAGCGGACACTTAGCAAGGAAAGATTATGGGATATGATTGAGATTGAATTGGATTATAACACTTGAGATTAATTTAACACTTGAGATTAATTGAAAAGGATTAATTATCCTACTCATACCAACAATGTGTATCTCCTTTTAAGGGAGCTTGTCAGCTAAAAACTCTAAGTTAAGCGTGCTGATAAGTCCGTATTTAGACACGCATTTGATGTGTGTTGGAGTCTCAATTTTGATGGTTTTCCTAGCTTTAAGGTGTTACAAGTCTCAATTTTAGTTCAAGATATGTTTCCCGGACGTTGGTTCGAGTTTTGTGTTGTTTGGAGTAAAAAACATTTGAGAGTCCGGCACCAGTGCTTGAGGAGCAAACGGAATGATTTGAGAAGCGTTCGAGAGTGAATTGAGAGCTTTGGAGGTCACCGGGAGGTTCACGGTGAAGATTTGATGATAAAAGAGCTCTAGGATTGGCTATGAGATCAAAAGAAAATGAATAGAGCTTGGAAATGGCGATCAGGATGACCTTCTGTCAATCATTCAAGCATATCTCTTTGTAGAAGCATCCAAAGGACACGATTCAAGTCCCAAATGAAATCTAACTTCGATGGATACAAATCATATGAAGACATCATTGCGAGAATTGGAGAGGAAGAAGGTGAAAACAGACGATGAAGTCACATAATCGCTGTTGCAATTTCAGAATGCGACCTTCCACCATTTTATTCATATCTTTTGATGAGATGATCCAAATCCAATTCAGAAAGTTATGGTGGATGTAGGACTTCATTATATACAACATTCATGAAGGACATTTTGTCAAATTCGAACTAGAGAAGCCGGAAAACGCACTGGCAGCCACGCACGCGTATGTGGGGGACGCACGCGTGCGTCCTACGTTTTTACGCGCAAGCTTGTCGGACGCACGGACGACACGCACACGTGCGTGGGTGCCGTGCGTGCCACGTTTCAGTCTTAATTCAACCCGAATTGCTCCGTTTTTCCTATTTAAACAGCCTGTAAATCCCTGTTTAGAGAGAGTGCCTAGCACGAAATTTAGAGAGCTTTTCAGCCTTGTTCTTCAATCTTTTGGGATTCTTTGTAAGTTTCATCTTTTTAATTAATGACAATTAATTCTATTCAGCCCAATTTTGCTGATTCTTCAATTATGAATTGTGAGTGAGGGGCGGATGTACATGGTAGTGAGAGTAAGCATAAGCTTCACCTCAATAATTCATGTTAGCCTAGGTGGTAGTAGTACTGTAGTTTAAACTTTTTTATGCTTCATGTATGGAGTTCAAAACCTGGTAAGGCTACACCCTCTTTTTTGAACTTTTGAAGTGTCTCACGTTCAAGTTCACCCCAGGTTTTTAAAGGAAACAATTTTACTCCTCATGATATTTTTTAATTGAAGGCTTATTGTTATTTAAGAATTGCTTCCTATTAAAGATTATAGTTATTATTAATTTATTATTAGTATTGTAAATTTAAATGTAGTTGTAAATTGTATTATCTAATACTTCAATTTGTTAGTGTGTAAACTACCGAGTATAGTTTTATTGCTTTCTCCCTCTCAAAATGATTTGCAAAGTCATTTATTTTATCAGTACAGTTTCATTTTATTTACTAATTTAACAAATCAAAATTTTACGATAATTCAATTTGGAATTGAGCTTTGCGACATTATAGAACTTTCAATGTATTTCCATATATTTAAATTTTATTTATGAAAATGATTTAATTATCCACAAGTATAATTTAACTTTATTATCGGTCAATTTTAAAAACCACAATTTCAATCAATTCAAGATGGTGGAAGTATATACATATATTTATTTTTTATTTAACCTTTGTTATTGTAATAATAAACTCATGCAGAGAATATTATATTACTCGATATTATATACTCTGTATGTGCATACACTAACCTCCGATGCCTAGGTCCGCCACTGTTGTGAGTAGTTTAATTAGGGATTTGGGATTGATGAAGGGGTTAATCATGATGTATGGCTAGATTCTTGATGAATTAATTGCATGAATACCGTTTAACTTATGTTTGAATAAATTAACTGATATCTCTTGTAACCTAGAGCGCGCGCTAGAATTACAATTGCTTATAGAATAAGTTAAGAGAGATCTAATTTATTCTAGGACACATTCACACACACTTAATCGCTCGCTAAGAGATTAGTAGCGATTAAGGGGCCGTAAGCTCGCTCGTCTTGATAATAATTTAGGATCTTGTCGCATGAGAGATTAGCCTGGTCCCTTCAATTATTGTACTCTACGCCGCGAGAGCGATAAGAACTTAGTAATGACTAGCTAGGCTCAATTAAATTAATTTCATGTAATTAAACCTGATCTGCCAGAAGTATGGTTACCCCGGAATCAATCCCTATTCCCTTCATCGTTAATTAGAAAGAACCTCTTAGTTTTAGTTTTCGTTTAATTGCAAGTTAATTTTCCAATCAATCAAATCTCGCACAATTTATTTCTTTTTAATCGCTGAATTTAATTAATTCTTAATTCCCTTTTGTCTGTCCCTGTGGAGATGATACTCGTACTTACACCCTTTACTACAATATATTTTAAGTGCGAGAAAACTCACATCAGTTTTTGGCGCCGTTGCCGAGAACGGTGTCGGTTTTAAGGGTTAATTAATTTCCGCAAGATTTTTTTAGTTAGTTTTCTTTTTGTTTTCCGTAGGATTTTTCTATGCTAACGTTTCAGGTATTTTTCTAAGAGGCATGAGATGAACCCATTCAGCCAAATTCCGGGAGGAACTCCTTACCCTCAACCCT